TAAGCACGGAATTTTACACCACAAAAACGCGAGGAACGAAGATCAACGAAGACTCAAGCATAGTTTTTCTTATTTAATTTATTTCTTTTATTTTCTTTATCATAAGAATCACGAGTAGCTAATTCTTTATTTCTAGGATTTTATTTGGAACCCTATGTGGGATTTATGAACCTTTTTTTTATGATTTTATGCAAGTTTTAATTGCGGTTTATTTCTTCTACTTGTTTTATTAAGTTCATGAAACTGGCCACTTTATGCGCTTTTATGTTATTGTTAATCGCATGAATCGGAAGATCGGGTTAATAATTAGAACTGTGGTAGAAGAGCCTTTGTGGTATTAACATAGGAATATAGTTAATCTCTTAGGTAGCCATTATTGAGATTTGTGCTTAATGCTGTGTTCTAGAATTAATTGCATAGGAATATAGTAATTGAATCTAGAGTATTAGAATCGTAATACACGCGGAAGCGGGTTATGATTATTTTAGCATCTCAGGTTAATAATCCGGGTTAATTACTTGCATAATTGAAGGAATTGGGGGAGTAATAATCACATAGGGGGAGAATAAAATCCCAGGCTTTTCTACTTTGACTAATCTTTGTGTTTAAATTGTTTTCTTGTTTTTGCTTGCTTTTAATTTAGTTTAATTTAGTTAATTCTCTCTAAAATTCGACTGTGTAGGGTGGGCTTGATAATAATTGGTAGAATTTAGCGTCTAGGATTAGATAATTAAATATTCCCTGTGAGTTCGATATCCGGACTTTTAGTCCACTATATTACTTGTACGATACGTGCACTTGCGTGTAGGTTTTCGGCCAACACTTACCCTAATCGAAGTTTTGATTTATGTTGTTTAAATCTTCGAAGTATTCATAGTCTGAATTTCATTTTCTAACTCCATTTTTTGCACCCACGGTAAAACTAGGTTCTTTGTTGTTTTTTCTAGTGGGATTCGTGATTGAAACATTAATATTATTTGGGTTGTCCTTGGTAAAATAAGCAAAAAAAAAAAAAAAAAGAAAAAAAAAATCAGAATCTGAATCGGAAAAGAAAATCAGAAATTTTCCGAAAGGGCCATATTCGATTTGATCCATCCGATTTCTAGCCCTAATTGCAATTAACGGAACGATGATGGAATTAAAACTCGTTTTGATCATAGGATGGTCTAGAAACTTTGCAGTAAGTTACATCATGTACGTATAATATAGTTCTTATTTACTAGTATGTATATTGTATTAGAAAATAGACATATATAGATAATGTTCTTTGAATTAAATTAATATACATCAATTGTAAACTGGTGTCCAGAAAACAGAAGGAAGCAATATAATCGAATTAATAAACTTTTATATTAATTGTTATATTAAAAAAAACAGCAAAAGAATACATGCGAATTACATAATTGGATGATACCTAAAATACACAAAATAACTTTTTTTTTTAATAAATTGAATATAACGTCTTTACATATGATAACGAAACCGAGCCAATAGAACAGCTCACGATTAATTAACATGAACTACGTACAGGACAACACTTAAACGCGAGGGCTTTACAAAGTGGACAAAAGTTCTTCATGCGCAGCCAATGTCGGATACAATCTGAATGGTATTCATGCCCACACTCGAGAGCTCCGATATTATTCTTATTATTTTCTTGGCACAAATCATCGAAACAAATCACACAAACATCACTCTCTTCCGGGCCGTCTCGATTATTATTAGCGATATCGGGACAAGAATTATTAATCTTTATTTTCAGACACTTTGTGATCTGATCTTCGGACAAACCGGCGGCGGTCCGAACTGCATGTTCTTGCTGACGTGGATGATGATGAATATTACTTGCGTTGAAAATCAGGGTTTGGTCTTCTTCTTGAACAAGATACGTTGACCTCCTCGTCGTCGTCGTCGCGTAGTAATTGTTGTTCGACAAGTAGTAGTGCTGCGGAGGGATGTACGGCGAATACGGAATCAGAACATAGCCGTGGGCGGTGGGGAAAATACGGCCTGGAATGGCCCATGGCAGCAGCGGCGGCGGTGGCGGCGGGGGATGATGAAAGGCGGCGGCGCGCTGAAATTCTGCGGAGAAGTTGAATCTACGAAGGTGAGCCATTAAAGAAAAATATATAATTGTTTGTGAGAGAGAAAAATGAGAGAGTATGCAAGAAACCCTACATAGTTTAGTTGTCAGGCCCAAACCTTACTTGAAGGTGATTGGGCCTCGGTGATAGTGGTCTTCGATATTGGGCTCGTGGCCCAGTAGGTAAATAATTTGTAGGCCCATTGGGTTGGGCCAATTAGGCATATCATTAAGCCCCCCACTCTCGAGTCGATGTGGGGGCCATGTTGAAATGGGTGACAAATCGTGTCGAGAGTAAAAATTGTAGTAGTCGATGGTGTGCGATAACGCATTGGAGCGTGTGTCGGAGGGGCGTGAATGCGCGTTGGCGCATAGCGCGACCAAGTTGTCGCGATGTAAGTTAATTGAGTCGTCGGTTTTGTCCCGCGACGATGTAGTAGCGAATTATCTCCTCGTGGGAGTTGTCTCATCGCGGGGTAATAGTTTTGATCGAGTTATCTCCCCGTGGGAGTTGTCTCGCGATAATGTAGTAGCACGGATCAAGTAATCTCCTCGTGGGAGTTGTTATTTTTCGACATTGTCAATGTTTTGACGCGTTGCTTATATGTGTTTACATATAGCCTTGTGCGTGATGTACTTGAGGAGGGGATCATACTCTCAAGATTTTTTTTATGGGGGTCGTGCCCCTTGTTAGACCTCGTGGGTCGTAAGTATTTTTGGACCGTGGCCACGTTTTAATGAAGGACCCATCGAAAACAAGTAGATAAATTTTGAGTAATCAAGCTGGCCAGGCTATATAGATTCTCATAATATCTCTAAGTGTTTCTAGGGTTGTAATCGTGCTAACTTGAGCTTGCGATTATATGGTGAATTTCGGGCGAGTTGTCTTGCAGCGAAGTTATTGGAGCATTAGATGACGCGCGACTGAGGAGCGTGCGGATTGAGGTTGCTCTGAGCGATTGTCTCCTCGTGGGAGTTATCTCCAAACGGGTTGTATGACCGAGCGATTTGTCTCCTCGTGGGAGTTGTCTCGCTGCGGGTTGTATTACTGAGCGAGTTGGCTCCTCGTGGGAGTTGTCTCGCAAGCCCCCTACTCTCGAGACGATGTGGGACCCACGTCGAAAAGGGTACCGGATCATGTCGAGAGTAGATCGGTGCTGTAATGTTTCGTTAATCGTTGGCGTGACGTCGAGAAATAATTTTTATTTATTTATCCGTTCGCGAGCGCGATTTGGTAGGGGCTTTGAAGAGCTCGCGCAATTTGGTGGAGCCCGTTGAAATTCTCGCGCGATTTGGTGAAGCGAGGTGAAATCTACGCTCAATTTTGTGAAGAGTAGTAAAAGTTGTGCCCAATTAAATGGGAGCGCGCGCTCCAAGGTTGCCTTGGGAGGCGCGCGCGCGCGCGTGGGAAGGCGCGCGCCTTTTCCCTTTTTTTTTTTTTTTTCTGGCGCGTGTGCAGTGCACGCGCGCCTCCTGTCCTTTTTTTTTTTTTTTTTTTCTGACCCGCGCGTGCGTCAGTCGCGTGTTCTCCACGCGCGCCCTTCCCATTTTTTTTTTGTTTTTTTTTGTTTTTTTTTTGTGCCCGGGCGCGCGCGGCTTGGCTCTGGCGCGCGCGCGCCTTGGCTCTAGCGCGCGCACGGCTTGGCTCGGGCGCAGCTTGGCTTGGAATTTTTTTTTTTTTTTTTCTTCTTCTTCTGTTTTTTCATCTTCTTTTTTTTTCTTCTTATTTCTTTTTCTTGTTTCTTTTTCTTGTTTCTTTTTTCTTCAACTTCTTTTTTCTTCTTCTTTTTTCTTCTTCTGTTTTCTTCTTCTGTTTTTTCATCTTCATCTTTTTCTTTTTTTTCTCATCTTCTTCTTTTTTGTTCTTTTTTTTTTTTCTTTCTTTCTTCTTCTAATTCTTCTTCTTTTACTCTCTTTTTTCTTCTTCTTGTTCTTGGGTCTCGCGCGCGCGATGTGACCCTTTTTGGTGGTTTATGTTCACCGCTTGGGATGTTCTATTTTTTTAGTAGGGAGATTATACTCGTTCCTTGAGATGGGATGTGCACCCCCTTGGGGATGTTCCATTTTTTGAGTAGGGAGATTATCCTCGTTCCTTGAGATGGGATGTGCACCCCCTTGGGGATGTTCTATTTTTTGAGTAGGGAGATTATCCTCGTTCCTTGAGATGGGATGTGAACCCACTTGGGGTTGAAAGGTAAGGGTGATGCCCAACTTTGGGATGGGATAACCGTTCACTGTAGGATGAGGCGCTTGAGACCTATGGTTTGAGGTGGATGCGCACGGTTGTGTCGTCGCTTTAGTGACAACACGAGTTAAAGCTTTCGCGGTTGTATACTGGAGGTCCTCCTCGGTTAACTGAACCGTAAGAGGAGCAAGTAAAAGTTGATCTTGTTGAAGCTTCGGCGATCATATGCTGAAGGTTCTTTTCGGTTATCTGAACCGTTCGAGGGGGGCGGAGGTAGGCCCCTAGGGAGTTGACAACCCTTGGCGAACGAAATATTTTGGGGGTACTATAAAACCCCAGTGAGTCGATAATCCTTGGCGAACGAAATATTTTGGGGGCACTATAAACCCCCAGATTTTATGTTGACTTGAGCTAATAATTATGTGGTGAAAGAGCAATAACACCGAGAGTAAATGAAATAACTAACTTTATTCATTGATTGAAAAGGTGAAGCTTACGAGCCTACTTGAGGCGAAGGTAAATAAACAAGTAGGGAGCGAATCGCTCGAAATAAATAAACTTGTACTAAATAGATGATGTAGGTGTTTCGTTCAATTGATGTCGAGAGGTGAGGGGATGTATCATCCTTAAGGTATGATAGCCCCCCAGTTTAGGATGATGTGATCACGAACAATGTTATGGGCTCGATAGACTCCAAGTGTCATTGACATCATTGGACGTATGAGGAGATTATCAATGAGATGTTGACGATTGTCGTTGGCCATCTTGTCGCCGGGTGTTAAAGTAATCTTCATCTCTTTTTCTCTTGGGAGGAGGGAGGGCCGAAGCCTCTTCGATGCGCACGTGTTTCTGAGCGCGACTTAGTAACTCTTCTAGAGTGGTTGGAGGTCTTCCTGCAATAGATTCCTTGAATCTACCTTTCTTCAAGTTTTGTTGAATTATTCCAACGAGCATGCTTCCTCCCATGTTAGGAACTTTGTGAGATGCCTCTACAAATCGTTGAATGTAGTTGGGGAGGGTCTCGCCCTCTCTCTGGGTGATAGTGAAGAGGTACGAGGGAGTCTTTGCGTACTCTTTGTTGATAGCGAAATGGTGGGTGAAGCGATCTGTTAGTTGGAAGAAAGCTTCAATTGACCCAGTGGGCAAGGAGTTGAACCAGCTCAATGCTCGTTCGGAGAGCGTTGTGCGAAACATCTTGCACATTGCCGCATCAGTTGGGCCATATAGATCTGCCATGGCGTAGAACTTTTCAAGGTGCTCCTGCGGGTCACCAGTTCCATCGAACTGCGGTAGACTCGAGACCTTTACCCGTTGGGGTAGTATCTCATTAATTATTGCGACAGTGAAGGGATTGTGCCTTATTGGAGGTATTGCCCTTCCACCAATGGGATTACCTATGTGGGGAAGGCGATTTGAGCGAGATACCTGACTGCTAATTTCAACCTCTCCACCATTGTGTGGAGGAGATCGTTGGTGAGAGGTGAACGTGGGTCTCGTCGCCCAGTTCGTGCATCTTGGCGATGAGTTGATTGTTGCATTCGGGACCGTGGGTCCGAGGTAGAGGAGGAGACACTTATTTGGTTCTGGACTGGCGGTGGTGCCATAGGTGGCTCCACATGTGGAGCAGGTGCTGGAATCGCGTTGGGAGCATTTGCTCCCATCGTGGCGATGTATTGTGTCACGGCCTCTGTGGCAGCGCGAGTTGAGGCTTCTGCTATCATGCGTTGGAGCGCGTCCTCGGTTATTTGAACCGTTCGAGGAGTAGGGAGTGGTGGATCGGCGAGTGGTGGATCCTGAGGAGGGATCACTTGAACCTCGCGAGGTGGATCTGCAGCACGTGGAGGAAGTGGCTCCGCAGCACGTGGGGGAAGTGGCATGCCAGATCCTCCACGAACTGGGAGGTTATTAGCTGTGTCATTTTCTCTCCGAGCAGACGCCTCAGGAGGATCTTGTTGGCTACGTGATCTGGTTTGCATCGTTCCCAGAGATGGCGCCAAAATGATGATGCTAAAAACTTAGATCACCTGAGGTAGTGTAGAAAACGAACTGGGAGAGCAAAGCGGATCAGTAGCTTGACAACTTGATGATCCTGAGGTACCTGCGATCACAGAAAACGTGAACTAGGCCGGGGGTTGATCCGGCGGAAACCCCTCCGACGCTCAAGTCAGACGTGCTGATAGTATAAAATGGTCCAGAGAATACAGTTGTAGTATTGCTCAGTTAATAGGTAGTACCTTAAGGAATGAATTCAAACCTTTATTTATAGCTTAGTTGAGATTGTCGGGCCCAAACCTTACTTGAAGGTGATTGAGCTTGGTCGATAGTGTACTTCGATATTGGGCTCGTGGC